GAATTATTGTAGCTTTCTAAAGTGACTCATTCACTCCCAGGGGGTTGGTTGTCTGGGCTCAGAGAAAATCTGTCTCACTGATTATTAGCGATTTAGTAATTGGACGGTAGTGATGGACTTCTGATAACCTAGAGATTTGCTTTAGCTTCACTGGCAAAGGCCTGTGTTTTCAGGGTCAAAGGTTACACCGTCTATGTGTGTGTGTGTGTGCGCGTGTGTGTGTGTTGGGGGTGGAGAGGGGGACTGTACAAAGTACTGCTTTTCTGAATCTGCCAGTCCCAGTTCTGACTGTATCATCCTGAGCAAGTCACAATTCCACTCCTGCCTCAGTTTCTTCATATGTAAAAGCAGGAGGGGGGTCAAATGATCACCATGTCTTCAAACTCTGGAAAATCTGGTTTATAGGCATGGCAACTCTTTTGATGCACATGTGCTGTTTTGAAAGCTGCTAGTTTTGTTTGTTTGCTTTTTACTTTTGTTTTTTAATGTTGACTTAGTTTTGAGAGAGACAGAGACAGAATGCGAGTGGGTTGGGGCAGAGAGAGAGGGAGACGCAGAATCCGAAGGCAGGCTCCAGACTCTGAGCTGTCAGCACAGAGCCCGACGCGGGGCTCGAACTCACAAACCGTGAGATCATGACCTGAGCTGAAGTCAGACGCCCAACCAACTGAGCCACCCAGGCGCCCTGAAAGCTGCTAGTTTTGTAATAATGATTTTGTCTTTCTCACACCAGTATCTTGGATTAGAATTAGAATTGTCCCTTACAGGTGTAGAGAAAACAAACAGCTCACTTACGTTTCCTCTATCTCCTCTTCCCTAATCACCTTCCAGCTGTGAAACTGCACACTTTCTATGAGTATACTGTCCTTTTTTTCTTTCTTTCTTTTTTTGCTGTTTGTGTCCTGTTTCATTAACTGTGATGCTGGGAGTTGTAATTTCCTCTTTCTCATAACGATATTTTGAATAGGACCTAGAATATCTTTTTTGCACCTTGTAGACATGTAGAAAAGCAGAACAACCCACCAAATCTCCTCTGGCCCCTCTGTTCTCTTAAATAGTAAACAAATGAAATCTGTATTCCTTCCTTTTATACATGGTGGAGAGTGTAACTTGTCCTGGGAGACTGAGCCAGGGGTCATTTGCAAAATTGCCTTATGCTATTACTTTCTGGGAACAAATAAGTGACTTTTCATCTTGGGATTGTAGAGATACAAGCAATCTGCCCTATTAGTATATCACTTGATGGGTAATTTGCTGTGTTAACAAGAAAAAAAAAAAAGACAAAGGTTTAAAGGGGAGCATTCATCTTCCCAAATGATATTTAAAAATTACAACTTTTGCAGGAAGATAGGGTTTTGCAAACTATAACTTCAGTGGCCTTTCTTTTTTAATAGATATTTTTGAAACTGTCTTATCATAAAATCTTTGAGAGGAAATTATAAGTTAGGAGATGTCTTGGAGGCCATGCCAGGGGAAAGAGGCTTTTTTCTGGACTTGTTCTTAGCAATGCCAGGTAGGCAATGCCCAGTGGATGGTCCACAAAACCTTCCCCAGAGCAACATTTCTTGAACTGCAGATCATGCCTCATTAGTGGGTCATACAATCAATCAGTGGGTGATGACCGGAAATTTTTGAAAACATGAAGCAAATTAGACTAAAGCAGAATAGAATAGAAAACATCAGAGCGCATGGCATGGAGAAGTTCGTGTAATGTCTAGTGAAAACTTTAGTTTCGTGTGTGTGTGTGTGTGTGTGTGTGTGTGTGCGTGCGTGTGTGTATGAGAGAGAAAGAGAGAGAGGGAGAGAGAGAGATCTGTTTTGGTACACCAAGTTCCAGTGTAAAATACATTCTTACTACAGGTCACAGTTTAAAAACTTGTATTTCGGGGCGCCTGGGTGGCGCAGTCGGTTAAGCGTCCGACTTTAGCCAGGTCACGATCTCGCGGTCCGTGAGTTCGAGCCCCGCGTCGGGCTCTGGGCTGATGGCTCAGAGCCTGGAGCCTGTTTCCGATTCTATGTCTCCCTCTCTCTCTGCCCCTCTCCCGTTCATGCTCTGTCTCTCTCTGTCCCAAAAATGAATAAACGTTGAAAAAAAAAAAATTTAAAAACTTGTATTTCTAGGGGCACCAGGGTGGCTCAGTCGGTTAAGTGTCCAACTCCTGATCTTAGCTCAGGTCAGGATCTCACTGTTTGAGGGTTCAGGCCCCGCATCGGGCTCTGTGCTGATGGTACAAAGTCTGCTTGGGATTCTGTCTCTCCTCCTCTACCCCTACCCCACTTGTGCTCACTCTCTCTCTATCTCAAAGTGAAGACATTACCACAATACACATGTTTCAATGTGGGCTCCCAACAACTTACTTATTTGTGACAAGGTAAATTTATAAATGAAAAGAATACAAATTCTTCCAAATGTGAATAGTTACCTTCCAACTCTATATTTAAATTGCCCCTAAGTTATTCTGAATTCTACTTTTTTGTCTCTGAAAAATACTTCTATTGAATCACTTTTCCACATCAGCCCAAGGCAAACTGGAAAGTGGGTCAAATATGTCTTCCTCTCATGGGGGTGCTTCCTACCTCTTTTCCTGGGGCGCCCCCACCAATGTTTGTACTTTCTTTCCCTTTCCTTTTTTCAAAGCATCTTCTCATGAAAGACTGATAAATGCATTAAACAGTATAAATGACTGATGATGCTTTGCTATAACTCCATTCCCAAAGGTATTTATATTTTAGCCAAATATGAGACCTCACATCCTATAAAAGAATCTTGTAGAATTTAGCTGCAGGGCAAGGAAAAGAGAAATGTGGAGAGGCAGAGTGCTTTCATAGCACCCTTCAGGTCCTAACTGTGGCTGGCATTATTCCCTTCCAATGTCTCCTTTTTGACATGTAAATGATATGCATGATTTTTTTACCCGGGGATTTGGGAACTACAACTTCAGCTGCTTTTCTTTTTTTAATAGATATTTGAAACTGCTTATCGTAAAATCTTTGAGAGGAACTATTTTATGTTACTCAACTTTGTATTCATCTTACACCCACCTTACTGCCTGGCAAATTTTACATCTTTAATTAGTAGTAGTTATGACTGTGTATTATGTAATGACACTACTTTCTAACACATGTGGTAACATTGTTTCCCAATGTCAAATTAAGAAGAAAGCACAAATGCATGTTTTTATGCTGAATATGAGATGGTGTTATGTAAAACTGACACACACTTATCACAAAACCACAATAATAACAATTTTTAAATTACACTAATAATTTATTGAGTATAAAATATATGCCAGGCTCCCAGTACTAAGTATTTTGCCCACATAGTCTCACTTATTCCTTGTAAAACCTCTTCAATGAAAATACTGTCATACCCCCTGCACCATAAACAGCGCATGTACAATTTTACAGATGAGAAAACTAAGGCTCGGCGATTGACATCCTGCCTATCAAGACACAGTTACTGAGTAGCAAAGAAAGCCATGACCCAAAGCTAGTCCACCTGCCTGCAAGGTCAGTTTTGCTTTCCTCGCTTTTACATTCACCTAAAATTGTCATTTTCATTTTCATTTCAAATACCTTACCTGCCGACTGAAGGACAAAGCTGTGAATGTAAAAACACCAGGAAGTTTCCTTTGTTTGTTTTTGTTTTTAATGAAAAACACTTTGATTATCACAAGGTGGTTACATACTTGGAAAACATCTGGCCTGATGAGCTAACTCAATACTTTCTGCTTGTCGTCTCTGCAGTCTAGTATCTATCTCCACGTTCAAGTCATCTTTAAGTGGAAAGATAAAGGACAAGAGAGTAAAGAGCTGGACAGGTGGACAGTCTCAACAGCATTGTGGTAGCATTCTACCAACTTGTTTGGATCTGTTCAGATAACTTTTGTTTCCCTGTACAAATCACAGTGCTTAAGGACATCTGCTATGAAAAGCACCATCTTCCATTTGCACTCAGCTTCCATATTCCCTAGTCCGTCTACACAGACAGTTTTTAATGGCCACCTTTTACATTAAAGGTCTGCTTTGTACTGTCCTCCTCAAGAGTTTTAAATCTCCAAAAGTCCTAGGTGATCAGAAGCCACAGATGTCTAGCAGCCTCATCTACTCCCGTGACAGGGGAAGGAAGAAATAGGTTTTGTAACAGATACACTGAGAAATCAAATCCAGGATTCACTTCTGTTCTTAGAACAGAGAATGAAACCACTGACGACCATGTGTGCTATGGGAGGTACTCTTAGATTCCAAACTTCTATAGCACTTTCCCATATTAATTCAGTCTTAAGTTTCAGGAAATAAAATAATTATGTAGTTAAACAGAGATCCTTATACAAACAAGTACCGTGTTTACAATGTAGCAATCCATTAAAATCAAAGAGAGGCATAGATTATGAGAACTAAAACCTGAGCCAAGTAGACTAGCACTCACCATTTGCCCAATCCCCATCCAATGACAGTAAACATCCTATTGGAATCTGCTCAGAAAACAAAGGTTTTACCCACCTAATGTCAAGGTAAACAGGTAGTAAAAACCCATTTTACACTACTAACTGGTGGTATCATTTTCACTCTTTAGGGTCTAAACACAACTAAATTTTGGTATTTTTTTCTTTTAAATTGGCACCAATATACTACAGCTTTTTTACTTGATAATTTTTAAGAAGTTCACTAGGTACTGGTTCACGTTGACTTAAATTTTATAGCCATAAACCATCTGAGTTAGAGGGAATAAAGACATTCTACTATTCAAGAAAAAAAAAAAATTTCCTATAGTTTACATGAAATGCCATCCCCCTAGACTAAGAGCTACATAGAATAAAAGCCCCATAAACTTAAGCTGTGATCGTCCTGAAATCAAGGTCCTAAGATTCTCCTACTCTGTAAATCATACAAAGAAGAAAAGTAAGGAAAAAGTATGTTCAGCACCACGAATATATTAATTAGGAACAGAGTTAGGTCTCTCTTGAAAGGGCTGTAAGCTGTAATAGCTGATGACATACCTTAAGTTCTCTGAAGAAGATACTACTCCTGGCCCACTCAACAATGGAGAAGAGGGTTTGATCAGCCATTTTGCACATAAGCCCAAACGTGCTCAGCTTTTCATGCTTGCTTCGATTAGCTTGCTCTTGCTGCAAATAGGCCATGATTTTGGCCTGGACTTGAGGCTCATCTGGCTCACACTTCAGAAGTTCCAGTATCAGATGTGGGATGCTTGCCGGGGAGCTTGTCTGGTAACTATCCATATAGGAATAGCCCATGATCGACTCCGGTGAGCTGGTGTAGGGGTCTGGATACTCAGACTTGATGGCCCGGCTAGGAAAGTGACTGTATGTTTGGTAACCTTGCAGGCTGCCATGAGGTGGCATTGTCATGCTAATGGGGGAGGTTACAAAGGGACTTCTGTCATAGTCTGTGGGAGGCAAGGCAGCGTGGTTCAGAGGTAGGCCTTTGGAGGCAGAATGGATGTTCTGAATTGCAGAAGAGATGGTGAGCTCAGAGGGCATTGCTTGGATCACCTGAGACATGGCTTCTAGCTTAAGTCCATTGGCTCGGATGAGGGCTTTTTTCTGTTGCTTTAGGGCCCTGTCTCTCTTGTACATTGGCCCAAATTTATTCCTTCCCCCTCGCATTCGGTCAGCCCTTACCGCTGTAGGGAAATAAAAAAAAAAGGAGTAAGGGTATAAATAAGATGGAAATTATTATCATTCTCTGGATCTCCAGATATCTAGAAATGTTGAAAATTGTCCAGAAGTGTTATGTGTGTGGTTGTTTCACACCATACCTCTCAAAGGTTCCCCCCCAAAACCATGTCTTCCTTACTTATGAATTCTCTCCTCTAAGTGTTTGTCATCAAAAAAAAAAATATTTTGGATACATGGGAACCTATTACTATTAACCATTTGGTGGACTGAAAAGATTTCATAATTTTTGCTACACACAGGGGATCCTTCAGATTGCTAAGAAAGAGTATTATGCCTGTTGTGTCAGAATTCTCTTTACAGAAACCCAAACTGCTAAGAGGAAAAACTAAAAAATCAAATAACCCATTTCTGGATTAAATTGTGAATGTTTTCCCTTAGACTATCTTCCTCCCTCAAAGCCATTTTGACTAATTTGCTGCAAAAGATTGGGTACATGCTCTTCCTAGAAAATCATTTTCACCTGGACTTGATGAGCACACATCAGATAACCACCAGTTATTGTTTTTAATTTAGGCAGAACTGGACATAATTAAAGCAAATTCATTTCAGAAGCTGTCAAGACAGTCCACCATCACAGTGCTGTGTGGAGTCTGGGACCACGTCTAATAAGTGAGTTAGCAGTTCTCTCCAAGCCCATAGTGGCCAATGGCAATTAGACAGAAACCAGCGACCTCTGACAGCTTCTGACATGTTGAAATTGCTGGAGGTTAAGTTTTTGAGCTTTTTATCTTAGGATTAGTATGGCATTAAAAATTTATTGTGAATGCAAGGTGTCCAGAATATTGCACAAGATAACAGAGAGTTTTTCATCTGGGTGATAATTTATTGAATATTCAACTATTTCACATCACTGTTAAGGAAGTAGACCTCAGCCCCACAAGTGACTTACAGTTAATAAAGCACACTTTTTAAGGTAAAGAAACGCAACTTTTTCCTTTCATTAAAAAAAGAAGAAATCAAATGATATCATATGAAATCACAACATTTGATTTTTGACATTTTATCTTTTGAGTCTCATACTAGAGTAAACATCTCCCACAGTATTTTGCTGTCTGGAAAATAATAACGTGATTGGTAATAAAGAAATGAATGAGCATTTCTTTCTCCATCTCTTTCCCAATCTCTTCTTAAAAACAGTACAGAGTTAACAGTTCTCATGATAACCAAAGTGGCTACTTCTTTGGGAAGGAATCTGTTAGCGATTCAGAAGATTTATTCGAAATCTTCTGAATATTTCTATCAAGTGTGAGTGCCACATAACAGAAAAGCTCCAAACAAAAGTAGCCTGTGCCTCGCTGATCAAATAAAATGCATTCTTGTATCTGGCACTGAACAGTGACCGGCATGCCTTATTATTACTTTCTTTGCACTGTAGTTAATCTGTGGACAGTCAGTAGGCTGGAGGCTGAAAAGCAGCAACACACCATGAGAGTCCATGCACCAAATTATTTACAGTGGTCACACATTAACCTTACTCCCTGCCAATCTGTACATTGTAAGTGCCAGGGTCTACTCTTTCGACATAGTTTAACATGGCTTTGGGGGAACCACTCTCTTGTTCCTGTCAAACCAATGCTACTGATTTAATAGTTCATCATTTTTCACGTTTCCTACTTTCCACCTTCATTTTGCAGACTTGATCGTTATCTTACAAAAAAGAAAAAAGAAAAAGGAACGTGTTTTCCTACACCATCAAAACTTGCACTCCCTATGAGCAACTCCATTTCACAGTTAAATTAGCTTTGACTCTTGCTCAGGAGTCACGAAGTTAATAGTAACAATTATGACAATTAAACAATTTAAAAGATTAAAATCAGGCTTTTACTAAGTTATCCTGACTTGAAAACTGACAATACATTTTTTTTAATTTTTGCAAATTTTAAAATTTGTTCTCATTTCAATCACAGTCCTGTTTTCATCTCACCTGGCCTCTTTGGTGTCAGGTGCATCTGCTCCCCAAACTAAAAATTAAAAGAAAAGGGGGAGGGGGGACTCCAAGACTGAAATTTTTTCCTGGTAGATTTCACCAGTATTTAAATGAGACTTGGACTGTTCTGCTGATGAAACATAAAAAGATCTTACATTATTGTCCATGGTGTTAGAAGACTAGGAGAATAATGTTACCATATTATAAGTACAATGTTATTTTAAATCTTATGTCCTTGGAGAGTTTTAACAGGCAATAGTAGTCTTTAGAAGAAACTTACCTTCTAGCTTCATTCCAACACTTAGACATTTTTGAAATCGACAGTAAGGACAACGCTTTCTCTGTGTTTTATCAATTTGGCAGTTCTGGTTTTCTATACATGTGTACCTTTTATTATTTTGGACTGTTCGCTTAAAAAACCCCTGTAAGACAGAGAAAATAGTGAGGCACAGTATAAATCTAACACCCGTCTCGTCCATTGTTTCATTTAAGGAAATCACCAATAAATCTTTTCATTGAACCAGTGAGCCTTTCCGTGGTTCTGTGGTTTGTTCTACATTTTAACAAGATCAACCCTCCAAAACAGTGCTGGGCCAAAGTGGAGATTTTTCTGGCACTAAAGTTATATTCCTAGAATAACATCAAATCTTGGGGAGATTTGGATATACACCATTTCATCTCAACAGACGGAGAAAAATACATTCCATATTGACCAGTAATTTCAAAAAAAATCTGTTTTCTTATTAACCTCATATTCCAGATAAGGTACTCATGGAGCTCTACACCGTTTGTAAGCAGCCTGATAGATTTTAGTGGCAAATTATTATAAAATACCATTGGAAAAACTGAACAGCAAAACACCCCAGATTTTTTTTTTTTTTTTACATATGTCAGCACTAGACTGTCGAGAACAAGAGGATTTAAAGAGTAAAATGGGAAAATGTTCATAATTCCATTGAAATACATTCAAGTTGGGGAACTCTGTAATAAAAAAAAAGTGAAACTGATGGAAAAGAAAAAATGTATAGCAGAGAGCTGAATTTTAGCACAGTGTGTTTTTCTTCTATTTCACCCAAAAGAATTCATCAAAACAAATTTTGTAGCTTTATAATATAATAACAGCTTTACCAGGATGGTATACTCTTTATGTTTATCTTACTAGCTATAAAGTGGAACAATCTTACTTTGTTATAGAGAATGAAGGGATTTTCCAGGCAGTGGTTTAAAGTATTTGTACTAAGCTTTCTACTTTAAAAAATGTTGAGAAATAGCAAATAGTATCAAATGGACTGGGACTATATCAAAAAGGTCTGGGAGAAATTCTTGATGTATGGTTGATAGTAATAGGAAAAATTTAGTACATTTTAGATATTAAAACTTCTTGCATTTAAATAGGTCATATGACTTATTTATGAATGCCATTCTACTATAAACTGAGATGTGCTTTCTTATCCTTTATGATATAAATTTTTTAAAAAATCTTCAAAATTGTTTTTGGAATAAATCAGGATGAAATCATGCAGTTGAGAATTTAGACTTTTATCTGTGGATAAAAAATGTTTAGACTTGCAGCACAGAATACTCTGAAGTTAAAATATATTTGGGAAATACTTTGTCATGTTCCCTCTCAAGAACAACGATGCTTTAAATATATATAAGTCAAGCAAAATCAATATTTAGGACTGTTAGAAATAGAAGTCTTTCTACAGATACATCACTTTACTACAATAAAATATTTTAAAGCCATGAGACGGGCAAAGTTTTCTAAACAGCATAAATTTTTTTAGCCTTTGGAATTAAATCAAACACATATTTCAAAGAATCATCTCCCCAGGACTAACTCTGTCTCTCATTTTTAATTGAGTCTATAAAAGACAGCCTCCATTTAGCTTTAAAAAGTAATCCAATGGTTTATTTTGGATTTAAACATTATATTTATCAGGTAGCAACGTGGAGGCAAACCTTGCAGCTTTCACAGGTGAGGAGCCCATAATGGTATCCAGACACTTTGTCTCCACACACCGGACAGAGTTCTTCAAGATCTTCATCGTAAGAGTAATTCACCATTTTAAACTGAGACACTGAAACAAGAAAAAGAAATGTGTATACATATCTAATTAATTTACTACGTAGGTTTTAATCCTGCAGTGAAAAGCATTTTGGTGATCAGTGGGCAAATATCACAGGTAAAATATTATATATATATATATAATATATATAATGTATATATATAATATATATAATATTTTTATCTTGCTATACTTAAAAAAATAGTTTTATACAATGAAAGCAAAACATCTTTAGGACTCAACGAGCATGCACTTCCTATTTTTTTAACTTAAAAAGATTTCCAACTTCTTTTGTTAAGAATTTTAAACTGACCGCTGTGGAACACATAGGTCATAACTGCAAGACAGCAAATCAGAAAAGAAACATGAATTGCAGAAAGTAACCATTTAGAACTTCTTTTCAACCTTCTAAAGTTAAGATCCAAAATGTCACCTTTGCCTAAGGAAGAGAAGCAAGCTCTCGCATTCTCGCACTCTTGGAGTAAGTTTGCTGCAAGTACACAGCGCTTATCAGGATAGCAACTGCCGATTTGCAAACACTTGACCGAGAACCTGAAGCCCCAGAAACAGCTTTCCAGCAGCAGCCCCCACTTTTAACAGCCTGCGGCTGTACGTTCGAATCTGTTAGACTAATTGAAACATTCAGTTACTTATCGACAGGGCTCCTGTTCTGGATACTTTAGGCTCTTCACATTCGAAAACGTCCTGTTAAAATAAAGAAGGAAAAGAGGGAGGACGCCCGGATGGGAGGGGGGGTAAAAAAAAAGAAAAGAAAAGATACACAGGAGGGTTTGGTTTCGTCCCCAAGTATTAAAGTCCTGCGATAAAACTTCACATGTTTCCGATAATCATTGCAAAATATAAACACCTTGAGATTGCCCGGTTAAAGTTAAACAGAAATCAGGCCGCGGCTACAAGCGGCTCACTGCGGGGATCGAGTAACCGCCTTCCGCCGGACTTAGCCCCTGCGAAGGCGTCATCGCAGCTAAAAGATGGATAAACTATGCACAGGAAGGACAGTGGCCAGGAGACCCCAGATGATACCTGATCTAGTCCCTTCCTGAGACTCACTCGGGGGCAGGTCTCGGAGGGCGACGCGGCGGGTATCGGTGCTAAGGGGCAGGTCCGCGCAGCCCAGCCACCAGCCGCACCCCTCCCGGGCACCTTCCTGTGAAACCCCGGGGCGCGCTGTCCTTTTCGCCCCTTGCCCAACTCTTGCTCGGCGACACACAGGCGCACAAATGCAGATTCGAGTTTAAGTTAATCAGTGGCGTTTGCAGGGGGCGGGGCGGTGGGGGGGGAGATGGGGGAACCGACGGCCCGACAAAAGTTTCCTTTGATTTGTTTACCAAAACGGAAAGAGAAAAAGCTCCCACTGCATCCCCAAAGTTCCCGGCCACTCCATCACGATCATGTGGCCTCTTCGCCAAGGACTCGTTCTTTTCCTTTTTATCTTTTTAAAATAAAGTGGGTTTTTTTGTTTTGTTTTGTTTTTTGTTTCTTTACGGATTCTGCAGGCCTCCGGAGAGGGCCGTGGGGGAGGTGAGGTCACTTGCACCACTTCGAGGCTGAGGGCCGAGGACCGACCGGCTGAGTTGAGACGTCTCTTCCCGAGACACAGAGCCCTGGCCTGGGGCTTAAACCGGAGTGAGTTAGCCAGAGTTTGGGGGTGGGGGTGGGGTCCCGGGAAAAGATGTTCGCGTAGAAGCGGGCGCCTTGAGCTCCGTGAAGTAGAAGTAGAGACGCTAAGCGCAGTCCTCCTAGTGGCGCCAACCCTAAGAGGTCCGCGCTCGGGCTTTGGGAAGCTGGGGGTTTGGGGAAACTGAGGGTTTAAGTTTGTTTATAGCCCCATCTCTTCCAAAACTCGTAACTATTGTCCTGCGGCGTGTTTTCGGGACGGGAAAAACTGTACTTTACCAAGTGTGTTCTTCTCTATCTCCCCTTCTCCCAAAAAAGTAAACTCTAATTTCGCACCTAAGAGGCACAGCGAGGCAACCGTTTGCAGGAGGATTCGGTGCCCACCTCGGGGATCCAACGCCAAAAGACCAGGGCTGGGAATGGGGACCCTCTTGGACAAAGACAGAGGCCTTGTGGGTAGCCAGTCGCTGCTGTGCGGGACCCGGGCATCTTTCAGAGTGTCCCAGGTGCCGTACCCCAAGTAGGCTTTCGGAGAACGGAATCCGTTGGGGCAAAGAAGTCCCTGTCTTTAGAAAGTAGAGAGGGCCGTGGGGCCTTGGAAAGCTAGGGCCGAAGAGAGGCACGCGGATAAATCCCTCCATAGTAAGCTGTCCCGAAACCTAGTGGCGAGTCTTTCTAGGACCAGGGCGCGTCCCCGGCTGAGCCCAGAGCAAGCAAGGGAAAGGGGTCCCCATCCCCAGGGACTTCCCTCGAGGTGCAGGCCGAGTGGCATAGAGGAAGTCGTGCCCTGACCCTTCCCACGATGTTTTCGAACCCAAAGCTGAGCGAGCGGCCGGCGGCTTCTCCTGAGACCTGTGCACAATGGAAGTCTAACTTTCTGCTTTGGGACAGTAGGTCGTGTCAAGAACGCCCCTCCCGAACTTTAAAAGGAATACTACAGTGGCATTTCCCTCGCATCTCCCCCGCCCCCTAAACCCTTATTCTTGCCTCCCCTACTTCCTGATCCAGCGTTTCCCTGAGGGTCTTTTCCCTAGTCTTTCAGAAACGCGCGCGCCTGAACGAGGGGCAGAAACTTTCCTTTTGGACCTAAGATCGCTGTGGCCTCACGGGCGCCCAAAGGGCACTCCCTCTCCGCAGCTAGAGGCGGAGGGTTCCGGGATCCCGCTCACGGCGCCGCGTCCCCCACGCCCCGACTTCGCGGGACTCCCAGGTACGAGCGCCAATGCCTCTTTGGGCCAACCGGGTTCCTCCAGCACCCAACCCTCAAGTTAGTCTCAGGGGCCGCAGCCCCCAGGGGACGTCCACAGCCCTTCCTGGAGGCTTGGAGAGACCCCAGCATCACCGAGAGGTAACCGACCCACAGGCACAACGCACGCGTAGCCGCCACCCTCTTTCCCCAGTCCGGGAGGGAGACGTCAGGGGCCCTGGGCCCGAGCGCGGCAGGCGCGCCGCCGATCCCGCACCGCGGCGTGCACCAACCCCAAACTCTGCTCCAACTCTGCTCCCAACACTTCCCCGGCGCTTTCAAGTTCGCTCAAGGGGATGGCAGGAAGCGTTCCGGGATCACAGGCCCGCCTGCCCGCACATCCTGCGCGCGGGAAGGGGCGAGGATGGAAGAGCACCGGTGACTTTTCCCAGCATTGTTCCCTCCCCGGCCCAGGGCAACTGCGATAAACTTCTGAAGGGCTTAATACAACCACATCTAGAGTCGCTATGTGGAATGCGGCGAAAATATAGCCAGCAGGGTTTGCTTTTTTTGGTGTTAGCAATCAAGAGGTAAGAAAACAAGCCGGGCTTCCACATTCCCAGCTCTGGGACTGTAGAAGAGGCATTAAGCTAAACCGGTGCCCCGTTCCCTCAACTAACTCGGCAATACCCGCGCAGAGGATGGGGGTGGGATAATTTTGGATTTCTTCAGCTCTGTCTGCGGTTCTGAAGTTGTCCAAATTAGAGCCAGTTCGCAGTGTCCCCCTGGGCTTTTGGGGGTGCCCAACATACATTCTAACGCCGCTAAGACCAGCTTTCCCGGAGCCTCCTCTCTTTGTAGCTGACTTTGCTAAGCAGGGTGTTCTTCCTCCACACACGAGTATTGATTAAAGTTCCCACCGATTCCAATGACCGAGAACCCGCTCCGGTTTCCAGTGAGGCGTTTCATTTCTTAGAATGATCTTATTATTCTGAAGTATCTTTAGCCTGAAGCTGCCCCCCTCGGGTTGCCATAGAGCTTGAAACCTCTCTTTTCTTAATTAGAAGCGGCCAATTAGGCATTGCTTGGAAAACCTCCGCCCCGCATTGTTCAAGAGCCATAAACTTTTATGCCTGCCCCTCGGGAGGGGGCCTGCCGCCCGCGCGCGGCCCCACAGCCCGGCAGCGGCGAGCAACGCCCGCGTCTCTATCAGCGGCGCCCAGCCACCCAGTGGGCTGAAACCTCAGGGCAGGCCAGGGCAGTGTGCAGGGAGCCGGAGGCGCCGCGCAGCGCCTCCTTACCTTGCATGTTTTCCGGCATCTGCCCCTGTTCCCCATGCGATCAATTGTTGGGGCTTCCGTCTCACTTTGGGCAGCATGACAAGCTGACGCGGGCGGAGAAGGATCCTCGTCCGGAAGCCCAACACTGGACACAGGCAGCACAGATTCAACTCCGGCGGAAGGAGGAGGGGGGGCGGCTGGGGTGCTGGCTCCTTACCCACTCTGGCGCCCGCTCCACCTCCTCGGGGCCGCGGGTCAGGACCCTGAGCCCGTCAGTCTCTCCAGCTCCCGGAGTGACCCCGGCTGCTGGGAGGAGATGGCGGAGGCCTACCAAACGCGGCAGGCACGTCCACGCGCTGGCCTGCACAGCTCGGCTGGGGCGGCAGCGGCAGCGGCGGCGGTGAGGGAGGCACCAGCTGCGGGGCGCGGATCCGATGCGGCGAGCTCAGCCCCGGGCAGCGGAGGCAGCCGCCACTGCTGCCTGCCAGCGGGGGGCCGCTACCGCTGCTCCCGGCCAGACGGCTCGGGCGGCTTCTACCCCTCCTCCGCGCATAGCACGCCCTCTGGCTCCAAGATCGGCAGGGGTCTCTCTCTCCTCTCCCTCTCTCTCTCTCTCTCTCTCTCTCTCTCTCTCTCTCTCCCTCTCCCCCTCTCCTCTCACCCTCTCTCTCCCTCCTCTCACTTCTTCCCCACAACTCTGCTTCCCTCTCGCTTGAAAGCCTCTGAAGTGTGGGTTGACTGAGGCTAACCCCTGCCTCGTTTACTCCTCTCACTTCATTAATGGCAGCCTTCCCCAGCCCGGGTGACGGTGCTGCAGGAAGAAGAGGAAAGAATAGAGGAGAGGAGAGTAATGGAACAGAGGTAAAGAGGAAAATAGGGGTGATGACAGTGAATGGGGACGCGGGTTC